AAATTCTTTGTAAGTTTTTAAAATTTAAAATAATAATATCAATAATGAAAGTTATATTCAATGTTATTATGAATTTGATTGTGAATATTTTTATTTTAATCTTATTTTACTAAAGTTTAAAATTTTAAATTTTAGATTTTAGTAAAGTTAGAATTTAAGTTTTAGTAAATTAAAATAAAAAATCCAAAGAATGGATGTGTATAAAACATCTCATAAGGAGAAGGAAAGGAATGAAAATCATTTACATTCAGGTTGTAATTTTTTTTAGTTGCGCTAAAACACTTATAAATTTGAATAATAGCATATTTATTTTCTATATCAATAAAAACTATTAAATCATGTCTCTGCTTGTTTTATAACTTCTCATAGGCTGACAAAACAGCAAATCTTTATGTATATTAAAGCAGTGGCTGTATTGAACATATAAATAAATAATTGAGTTAAATTGTCAAATCATGTCAATTCTTCCAGCTGAAACTGATCACAGCTTATATCTGAAATCCTTCTAGTAAGTCATTAAATAGAAGAATTTTCTGCAATTTATCTACATACTTTTTTTCATGAAAAGTTTCTGTAGTTTGTACTGCAGTAGGTAAAACAAGTTTTTTCCGCTTGTAAATAGTTTTTTAGCCATTGTTATTAGATATGATGCAAGATACTTAAAAATATGTTTTTCTTGAGGAAAGACATAATTTTCAAACAAACATTTGCTTTGATTTTATACCTTAAATTTAACAAATATTCTACAGATTTTGTTGAATAAACATGTTTGATGTTAAAATGCTTCAGTAATTTTGAAGGCTTCTAGCTTTCAGCCACCAAAGTAACATTACATAGTAAACTATAATGTAATTTTTTTTACTACATCCCACATTGGCAAGATCTTTTGCATCACTTTTAACTTTCTTTTTTAACCAACTATCCATATTTATGGAATAATATTTTAAAGTAAATTTATAAAAATGATAAAATATTTTTATAATCTGTGCTGAACTAAAAAGTAGAAGTAGTAGTGCCCTTTTGAGTGTGTTTGACACAGAAATCTTTGCAGCCTTTGCAACAGTGGTAATGGCGACAGAGTCACTTCACCTTTTTAACAAGAAAATGTGAACGAAAGTCAATGCAAAAATATTACTCATGTAAACTTCAAACTATGTAATGTTAAAACATATGTCAAGTTTGACAGTTTTACTTTCATTTAAAAGTTGTATTGCGCTAACATTTCCTTAATTTTGATCTATAACATTTATTTTTGTTTCATAAAGACTTTAGTTAAATAGTTTTAAAATCAGTGTCAGATAAAACGCCTGTGGCCGAATGGTTAGCTTGCAGAGTTTTAGAAGTCAAGCCTCGTGGTTTAAGTTAGGGCTGTTATTAAATAATTTTTTTTTTTTGAAATTGCTTGATTAATTCAAATAATAATAAATTTTGCTCACAAAACAGTTTTAAAACAAAAAAGCAAACGTAAATTTTTTCTTTCTTTCTTTTCGTTTTAGTTCAAACAATTTGTTTACATTTTATTCTCGCTTGTTCAGCCAACAAAGTCAATTCGCTGCTGCTAAAAGCTTAATGATTTATCATCTTGAAAAAGTTGAAAATAATAAAATTATAAAACTTTTGGAATTAAAGAAACAAAAATCAGTTGACAAAAAGAGTTGTCAGATTTCAATTACTGCTATAGTCTTAGAAACAAGATTGATTCACCTGAGATTTTTCTTGCCAGATTTAATGCATTTAAAGTAGATCTTATTCTAAGTTTTAAGTTAGAGAAAATATTGATATTAAAAATGGTTGGGAAGCACAAAACTTAAAAATTCCATGTAATAGACATGAAATGAAAAGTATGCTTTTGGAATATTTTAAAAAAGTAAAGTCTGATTTAGCTGATTTTTTTGAAAAAACCTTGAAAAGTTAAAAAAAGCTGACAATTGTTTTTCATTATCTTTAGATGAATGGATATCAAAGAAAATCATCAGTATATGTATTTAAATTTGCATTTTTTGAAATGACAGGTTTAATCTCTTGGCATGTTAAGGTTTAATGGTTCTATGACAGCAGAAAAAAGTTCTATGACAGCAGAAAAAGTTTATAAAATGGTTCTATGACAGCAGAAAAGATTATAAAAAAGCTTAAAGATTTTAATTTAAATATATTCTTATATAATCCTGCTGTATATTCTTTATAATATATTCTTGGTATAGTGACTGATAGTGCCAGTTTGATGAACAAATTAGGAAAACTTTTAAATATTGTTCATATACTATATCACTCCCATGGTATTCATCTTGCTGTTGTTGATGTTCTTTACAAAAAGATACACAAAGAATTTGACACTGATGGAACATGACAAAGTTGATGAAATTGATGAAGATTCCGATGATGAACTAAGTGGGGAATATCAGGAAGAGTTGGGCAACAATGATGTACTTGAATTGGCAGATAATCTTTGTAAAACTATAATAAAAATTAGAAAAATTGCCATGTTATTCATGAGATCTTATTTATGAGATTTTTTGATCAAAACGCTTTCAAGATATCTAAAAATAAAAAATGTTTTAGATTCCATTCTTAATGATCTGTATGCCAGTATTTAGCTGATTGTTTAGAAATAATTGAGGTTAAAGCTTTGTAAAACAGATGTTGGCATCTTGTCAAGTGAATAGGTTTTTGAATTTACTCTTTTAAAACTAAATGAAAAAAATGTAATGATTTTTATACTGCTGTGTTAGAAAAGTGAAAGAAGAAACTGTGGTATTAGTGGACTTATTAGATATTTAGACAATCCAAATTGTTATAATAAAATTACTGTAAATTGAATCCTTTTATTATCCAAAAATGAAGGATCAAAGATAGCAAAAGACCTATATAAAATACTTTTTTCGAAAAATTTCAGTTAAAAATAGCACATCAATTGATTCAAATAACAAGAGTGCTGCTCTAGAATCTAAGAAATTGTTGCCAAAGAAGAGGAAAATTGATGAACTTCATGAATATTTATCTGTTGTGGCTTCACCAACTAAAAGTATGTTACTATTTATTAAAAAAGAATTTGCATTGTTTGAAGCATCTAATGATCAACCAAAAGGTTTGAAAAAGTTAAATTCAGCCCTTTGTATTTAGCCACCTTCATTTGTGGAAGCTGAAAGATGACTCAGTGCTTATTCATTACTAAACTTAGAACATCATTAAGTGATGAAATGATTGATACATTATGTTTTTTAATGTCATATTTAATTAGAAATAAATATGATACCCTATGCAATATTTTGTTATATTGTTATATTAGTTAACAAGATATTAGCCCGTAAAGGGATGTATTTAGTTTTTACCATGCACCAATTTACTTTGTACTATTGTAAAATCAAATGTTATTATTGATCCCATAATTATTTGAACTATATATATATTATTTTAATTAATTTTACAAAAATTATTTTTTATTTAAATAATTCAATTTGTTTGTTATTTGATCCGCCCTAGTTTAAATCGTACCTCAAGAACCTTTTTTTTTTTTTTTTTGATTTTTCTAAAATACAAGATAAATTTTTTTTTTTAAGTTTTATAGATACCTAACATATGTAAAAAAATCATTGTAAAAAACGAAAGAGAGAATTTAAATAAAAAATAAAAAGTTTAACATTTCTAAAAACATCGAAACACCACTATAAATATAAATAAGTTGTTAATGTGCTCAAGTAATTAGTCCTAATAAGCTGCAGATGGTTTTAAAAAAAATAATGATCTGAAACTTAATAAAGAAAAAAATATTAGGCTTGTCCTGCAACTCCTGAAAGTGCTGTTGTGGAGAGAAAAAAAATAGCCCATAGCTAGTAAAAACTTTAAAACTATATTTTAACAATTATATATAAAAAAAAACAATTAAAAGTCATTTTTACTATATTTTTTTGTTATAAATATATAGCGTAGATTGAAAAAATGTTTTTTATTAAAGGGCGGATTTGATATATCTAGCTTCATGTGACTTGTTTTCCTGGTCCTCTTTTGCTTTGTAGATTTGATATAGTCTTGATGAATGGTTGAAATTTTATTTTCTAAGCCTTGAGTTTTGAACAATTCCGCAGGAAATGTCTTGCAACTGTTTATACAATCAATAAGTTTAATCTGCGCCTCTAAGACATTAAAAAGAAAGGTGTTTTCATTAAATTAAGACTTTTTTTTTTCAAAATAAAGAAAGGGGGGTAACTCTCTTTGCTTTATTTTGCTTTCTTTAACTGTTTTTGTTCTATTATTACAATTTATCAACTGAACTTATTTGCATAAAATTTTTTAGAACCAAATTTATTCCTCTGTGACTTTAAAAAATAAAGTTTAATAACAGGAATTTTTTTTATATATAGGCTTATATATTTTATATAAAGGCCTATATATAAATTTTATATATATAGGCTTATATATTTTATATAAAAGCTTGTATATAATTATTTTGGCAAACATATAAAGGGATTAATGTCAATGTCAATTTAGTTATTAATATAGCTAAATACCTTTTGAGTATGTTTTAACTGAATAACTATGACAAGATTTATTAGATTACTTTGGCCAACAATGAACCATAGGAAGAAGAAAGGGTAACCCATTTTTTAATAATATTGGGTAACATGCAATAAGGAACCAATTTACTTTCAAACCAATAATAAAATAACTAAACTACTTAAGTAGTTAAACCAATTGCTTTAATCATTACATTATATGATATTATTTAAAGTAAAAAATTTATTTGGTTTTCACTTTATTATTGCATTTTTTAATCAAACTGCAATACAGTTCAAATGCTAGAATATGTTTTTAATAAATTTTTTTGGTATCAAAATTTAATACAAAATAAACCTTTATTAAATGTCTAATATATATTTGGTGGAGTTCCAAGACCTTTTTCTAATTTCTTTTCTGAACAAATTCGTTCTTTATATTGTAGACTTGATTTTATGCAAGTTTACAAGCTCCTTTGTATAGGATAATAAGCAAACACAAAAATAAAGTGTTAAAAGATGATCTTGAAGATTGAGAGAAACTTATTTAATTATTTTGGTAAAATTAACATAACAGTTTTTGGAAATTAAGAAAAGCTTTAAGCAGTTCCGCTATCAATTAGCAGCTTATCTTTACATAAACTTTTTGGTTGACTTTCTGAATGCTATACTTAATAGTAAAAAAGCAACTGATAATACAGACAACCTTGATTTTAGAAATTATTATATAATTTATTAGTATATATACAACAATTGCTTTGAATTAAATTTGATTTATTTTACAATTTTTCCATTAAAGTCAAGTCAACTTTGCCAACTTTTGAATAACGTGTTCTTTGTTAAAAAGTACTGCATATGTATCAATCTGTGAGAAAAATCATTTCTGAATGGCAACTTTATAATAATTTTGGATAAAAGAACTTCAACGTCACTAAAATAATTTTTATAACTTCTTTTTTAACTAGACTTTTAACTAGAATGATAGCTTTGTATCACCTTCTAAGAATATGTTTTTGAAAGCTCATCTAGGATATATGGAGGGTAGCAAAGTTTGTTTATAACAATAAGATTTTTTTTTTAAACAAAATTCATTATCTGTAGAAAAATGTGCTTAACATTAGTTAATGCATTTATTTGCTGTGTTAAAAAGAAACTATTTGAATGCTGTGTTTTTATGTGGCATTTAAATTTATGCTCTAATTTACATTTTATCATACAATGGTGGAATTAAATTTGGTATAGACTAGGCTTTTAACTAGAATGATAACTTTGTTTTTTAAAGCTAATCTCTGGTACATTTCTAAGATAAAGTTATTGTTTTCAAAAAAAAAATTTGATTGTAGATCTAACATAAATTAATCGATGAATTGTTCATCTGTTAAGTTAGTCATTTTTTTTATTATTGTGCACTTATTGATAGTGTGGACACAATAAATAAACATAAATTCAAAATTTAACTTTTATTGTTTAAAAACAATAGAATCTAGTATAAACAGACTATCTGTATTATGATTATAGTTTATAATACTGTACAACATATTTAATCAAGCATGATACAAGTTGCATTATGTAAACATTTTTAAAACATCAAAATTTTATTTTATTTTATCGAATTGAATTATGGTGCAAATTTCTATTGAAAGAAGGAACTAGGTCATTAAAAATATTTACTTTGCAGAATCAATCTAAAGATGTTTCTGAAAAGTGAATTTTTTTAAAAAAAGATGATGATAAACGTCATAAGTTCATTCATCTTTAGATTGATTGAACTTATGACATTTAAAAAAGATGTAAAAAAATAAAATGAAAATTGTTTTAACCTGATTTCTTTAGGTTCACATATTATGAGAGTGTAAAAGATGTGCAAACTCTAGCTATGATGTCATGTATTCTTTCTCAGCAGGAATTACCTGATGAATTTAAAACTATTTCTTCAAGATTGAATGTTGAGGAAAGCAAGGTAAACATATCAAGTATTTGTAAAAGTGTTATGTGTAAAGTGCTTTGTATTTCTAACAGATGCTGTTATTTAGAATATGAAACAATGTTTTTCTGATGGTTTTCAAGTATCACCAGAGTTTCCATTTAATGTTTACAATAAAAATTCTATTGGTGAAGGAAGTTGGTCACCTCCTACATTTGTTGAAGAAAAAAATGTTGATACTAAATTTGACATGTTGAAACAAAATAGTCAAAACTGGCGGTAATATTTTTTCCAATTTTTTTTTTTAACTTCAAGATTGAAACAATAAAAATTACTGAATAAAAAATTGTAGCTTTGTTTAAAATTGATTTACAAATGGTTTTATTATTTCTTTAAATATTATTTAATTAAGTATTGTTTTATTAAATAATTATTATTTCTTTAAATATTTTTTCAAAAGCAAGAAAAAAGAATTAAAACGTTCAATTTACTTTTGATTTATTATTCGGTTCTTTTTAACCTGTCATTCTAAAATATATTTTATATGTAAAATATATTTTTCCAAATAAAAAATGTATTTATATATTTGCATCATCAGATTAAAAGTGCAAATGAAATTATAGCACATGGAAAAATTGTTTTAGTTTCAACCTTACATAATATTTTATTGTTTCTTTTAATATTAAATTTTTATTAAATTTTTATTAAATACATTTTTCCAGTCAAAATGCTTTATTATTTTTTGATTATTTATTTACAGTATCTTTGATTAAACACAATTTAATTATATTGTTTTTGACAAAATTAATTTTTTACCTAAAGTTTAATAAAGAAAATAAAAAGTTTTTGATCAAGAAAATTAAAAGCTGCAAAATATATAGTATGAATGTAAAAGTAAGTTCTACAAAAAATATCTGCATTTAAAAGTAAGTTCTACAGATTTTAATAATATTTCTCCTAACTTTCATCAGGGGTGGATGCAGCATATATGGAGTTTGATATAACTAACTTCAAGACATGGAGCAAACTCTAAACATTTATAGTTCATACTTATGTCAAATAGAGATGCTTTGCCAAAAATTCATATGATTGGGGCGTGTAAACAAAAAGCCCTAAAATTTTGGAGACACTTGCCCATGAGAGAAAATGTGTTGTTGAAACATTTTATTTGCTATTCTTGAATAAATCTATATTCATCGAAAATTTTCAAAATTCATTCAAAAATCTCTCAGCATTCAAAAATTATGACCATGTAAAGTTTGATCCCCCAAGTTTTTAGAAATGGTTTCCTTGTAGCTATCAGTGACGACTAAAAACTTCCAAAAAATTCTAAAATAACTTTAAAATGAAGTCAATGGTGCTAGCGAAAATAGCTATAATGGTGCTAGCAAAAGAGCTTTTTTAATAAAATATTAGTTTTTATTTTAAGGCCAAAAAACTGTAAAACTGAATTCCTTTCTTTACATTAGCTTTTACTTTAAAAATTAGTTTAAAAATTTTTTGAGTAGTTTATGACTTAAAACATAAATTGGTAGAAAATTAATTTTTATTTATAATTATTCCCTATTAAATTTTAATTGATTTATTAGATATATAAATATTCAGGCTTGAAAAAATGCATTTTAAATTAGAAAGAACATTGAATTTATACTGAAAACTATTACACTTTCCGAATAAAACATCATTATGCTCAATTAAAAAATTGATAAATAATTTAAATAAACACTTTTTATGATGAAATAAAAAAAAAATTAACATTATAAATATATATATATATATATATATATATATATATATATATATATATATATATATATATATATATATATTTATATATATATATATATATATATATATATATATATATATATATATATATATATATATATATATATATATATATATTTATATATATATGTATATATATTTTTCGAACATTGTATTAGCAATAAATTTTTTATTCTTGACATGTTTCCTAGTCTTACTACATTTTCAAAAGATTTAATTTACAATTAAAACTCTGGTAAATAAATTTAAAAACTGAAGACAATACAGAGAAAAAATTAACAAACAAATAAACTTGTTACAAACCAATTAAAAATTATATTACAAATTATGACAAAATAAACTTCCTAATATTAAAATATTAATAATAATAATAATATAGTTTTTGCATAAAAGATCCACTTCCTAAGATGCTTAAATCTAATGTTGTCTGCAAATTTTCTTGTGCTGGCTGTAACGCCAGTTATATTGGAGAAACCTCCAGACATTTGACAACAAGGATAAACGAGCACCTTACAAGTGACAAGCAATTGCATATTTTTCAACATTTAAATTCATCCATTAATTGTAAAACAATAACTATTTTATAATTGCTTTCAGATTTTGGATACTGCTTCTACCATTAATAAATTAAAAATAAAAAAAGCACTTCATATTAAATGGGAAAATCCTTTTTTAAATAATTAATTAAATTTTTAATAATATATATATATATATATATACATATATATATATATATATATATATATATATATATATATATATATATATATATATATATATATATATATATATATATATATATATATATATATATATATATTTATTTATTTATATATATACATTATTAAGTGGCCAACAAATGGGAAATATCAAAAAGCATTTTACGCATATTTTTAAAAGTAACAACCCACTACTTATCTCCATCCAATTTAATAATAAAATTGTCAATTATCTTGATGTAGGGGAAAGTTTCCATAATTGGAACAGTGCCTTAATTGGAACACTTGCATTTATTTTTGAAAAAAATGAACTATGGCTATATTTTGCATTTTTTTAGTAAAATGCCTTATATTCTACGTTTATACAAATTCTGAAAGAAATTCCTTCAAAAATGCACGTGCACCATTGTGTCTTTTTTTTTCGGTGATCTAATTTTGCGTTCACGCTATATTGATTATGCTGGGTAAACTTTACTGCTATAACCTATACCATTCTTGAATTTAATTCGATGGGATTTAAAATGTAAAATAACAATATACCCTTATCTTATAAATTGCTGCAAGCATGGTATTGCAATAATATAACAAAATAGTTCAAAGTTTCCTTGATTGGAGCTATAACTTTTTCCTTTCTTAATCAGTAATAAAATCAAAGGGTTGTAGAAATAGTTCAAGCGCATTTTAAAAATACTTAATAACAATCATAAACTATAAAATAATATTTTATTCAGTGATTTTTAATTAATAAATTAAGAGAACGTCATGAAAGTTGAAGCTTTAATACAATTTTTTGCTTGTAGACTTTCAGTTTTTCAGGGTAATATTATTCCTATTATAAATTTTGAATGAACTGTTTAAATTTTCACTGTAAAGATAAAAATCATTTTAAATCAATTTTTGTTGATTTTACTGTTTTTTTTTTAAAAAAAAAACAACCTGCTCTAATTAAGGAATCAAAGTGTTCCAATTTAGGAAACCAGTTGCCTCGATTGGAACAAAATGGTAGCTTTGCAAAAACAAATTTATTTCCAATAGCATTGCAATTAAACCAAATTATGGTTAAAATTATAGTAGTTATATAGTAGTAGTAGTATAGTATTATGGTTATATAGTATATAGTAGTATATAGTATTATATTATATAAAAACTTTGGCATATACGATTTGCCGAATGGTCACACACGAGCAGTGAACGCCTGAGGAAAGAAATGAAGTACATTAGAACAAAGGAGAATTATTTATTAGACAAAGCATATTTTGACAGTTGTCAAGACAAAAATAAAGATTAATAGAGGATTATTTGAAAATAAATAAGACAGGCTATACACCAAATACAGTACTCAACAATAATTACAATAAAAAAAAAAATTAAATAAATAAATTTAAAAAAAATTGTTTTATACAACATTTAAAAACAATAAAAATGTAAGCGGCATATATACAACAAATACATCACCAGACAAAAACTTTTTAAACAAAAAACCGATCACAAAATAAAAAAAATATGCTATCAACAATGAAGGCCTTATAATGGAAAAAAAACATTAATGCTAATGTGTAAACATAATTTGTGTAGTAATTAAGTTATAAACATCTCCTCAGAGTCGCGTCTATTATTACTGGCGTTTCGATGAGAATCAGCATTTATAACTAGTTTATCTCGTTAGACAAACATCATCGCTACTTATGCTTTACCCCGCGACTTAGGCCTATTCCATACTGCAGTAAAAAAGAACTCACTACAAATAGCCAAACCCCAACCAACCCCAAATTTGTAAAGCACCAATATATTTTTGATGATATGATATAAAAAGTGTAGATTTACTGAACAAACAAAAATAAAAATAACTAAATTAAACACTTACCATACCACCAAAAGAAAACATGAAAACAAAATAAATTAAAATTCTAATAGGAACATAAAAAAATTCATAAATTTCTTTTAAGAAGTAATACCAAATAGAAGCTATTAGCATAATTATAACATATTATTTTTATAGTAAAAATTATAGAAGTTATATAGTAGTAGTAGTATAGTATTATGGTTATATAGTATATAGTAGTATATAGTATTATATTATATAGTAGTATATAGTATTATTTTATATAGTAGTAGTAGTAGTAGTAGTAGTAGTAGTAGTAGTAGTAGTAGTAGTAGTAGTAGTAGTAGTAGTAGTAGTAGTAGCAGTAGCAGTAGCAGTAGCAATAGCAGTAGCAGTAGCAGTAGAAGTAGTAGTAGTAGTAGTTTTATGTTTATAGTAAAAGTTATGGTTATAGTAGGGTTATCTGTTTGTATCAATCAAATTGAAAATGTTTTAATAGGTAAGCCACCTTTGTTAATAAATAATTATTCCTAAAGTGTTCCAATTAAGGCAACTCTCCCCTAACATTGATTAACAGTTCTTATCTACCATATTGTAAACCTAATAACCAACTTAGTATTTTCATTTTCATTCAAACCATCCATCTAATATAAAGAAATCCCTCGAACTATTGAGTTAAGGTTATCGACTATGGCAGTAAACCAAACTGTGTTCAATAATTCCATTCTTCCATATGAAGAGACTTTATACAAATCTAGATACAATTCGAAACATTTTAATTGTTGTTATATGTTAATTATTGCTTATCAAAAGTTAAATTTTAATGTTTCAGTTAATTCAAAGTAAGTAAAAAAATAAAAAACTTTTTACTATTAAAAAACAGATAAAAAATTTACATACTACATAAAAAAATGTAAATAAGATACACACTGTTAATGAATAAATGTATATTCTATAATTATATTTTTTATGACAATCATAACAAACAGATTTAGAGAAAGTTTTGAATATTTATAAAGGTTTAATAGGAAATACAGATTTGAAAATCTAACCATGTGCACTAAGGCATTTCATACTTTTCAACTTTATTTAAAAAAGTTAGCCCTTAAAACTTCTTTGCCTTTAGGTATATACATTGAAGAAAGACAAATAAATTTATCAGAATAAAGGCAACATTTTAAAAAAATAGACCTTAAGTTTTTAAAATTTAACATAAATGGGGAGGGGACCAAAATCATATCATAATCATATCTTTATACCTCTACTAGAGGTACTAAAAAAGAATGCTATGAATGAGGTCCTTCTTGCTGTTGAAACGAGGCATTATTAATCTATTTTCTGCTCTTGCATGAATAAATCCATTTCATGTCTCAAACCCAAACACTGTTTCTCAAAACCAAAAACTGTTTCAGAAGCTGCAGTTACCTAAATAAATTTTTTTTAAGTATTTTTAACACAGTAAATTTTTTTTACATTTTTAACAACTAATATATTATTAAGGTTAGGAAAAATTAATTCTACCTTTTTAACTGCCATCTCAACTCCTTATGTGTGAACAAGGAAATACGGAACTACCATAGGACAATCCAGGATTTGTTTTAGCTCAATAATGTTCATTTGAAAGGTTAAGATGGGTTCATAGGCCTCTTCCCATGTTGTTAACTCAATCAATTTGGTTGCACACAGGTTTAAATGAGAAAGCTTATATGTTCTAGGAGCTTTAGTTCTATTTCCTATTTTTTTTTTTAGTATCTAAAATTTTATTAACAGCAAATTCCCTTTCAATTTTATTATTGCTGTTTTAAAAAGTAATGTCTGCAATAAGATTTCGGAATGAAAAAAATTCCATGCTGATGATCTCACTTATTTTTTTAATAGCTTTTTTGTAGATTTTCATCTTGATGTTTGGTAAGGTTGAGTTGGTTCTAGATGTGCCAATTATATAGATTATATAGCTCATGATGTGCTATTATAAGCAACTTATTTATAAGCATCACTCAAAAGAAAGATGTTTTAACAAAATTGAATTAAAAATTAGAGAAAGTATTTTAAGTTAAGATGGGGAAAACCCTATGTGAATAAACAAGTAAGTCATGTTAACATTTCTCTCACCATTTAAAATAGTTTATCCATTCTTTTGATCTATTTAACATTTGTTAAAATAATTTTTAATTTTAATTAATAATTTGTTGAAATTCTATTTGTATATATAGGAAGTTTGCTATCAAATTTATGGCTTTTATAATTTTTATTTTTACAATTGTATACTATATTTTATACCATTTTTATCAAATAAATATAGTCGAAACATGTCAGGAATTTGATTAAGTAGTTTTTTAATAAAATTTTAAAAATTATCTTATTTTTAAAATTATTTTTACATTTTGTGCTTAGAAGAAGTTATGCCAATTATATAGTTTATTATATTATATAAGTCTATTATGTAAACTTGGTATTAAGTAAAAACTTTGTGTTTAGTATATAGTTTTCTATTTACTTAAAATCATGGTTATTTTGAAATTTTTTAGACTTTTAAGTTCTGACAATACATTTCGATATGATCAATTCAAACGGTTCTATGGTCAAATTCTTTATCGTTGGAAGTTTAACCTACAGCGCACTGAAGTCATGAAATATGTTACAGAGTTTCCGAATAAAACAAAACATTTGGGTATGGGCTCTGTTATAACAATTTTATGCAAAAGTATTATATGTGTACTACATTATAATTACATGTAAATAGGAAAATTTAAATTCAGTTTTTCCAGCAAAATTGCATCCTTTTATCCCTACATGCTGTAAAATTTTTAATCATTAAGCCTATTTTTTTGCACATCTACAAAACCTCAAAACTCACACCCATCTTCTAGTTATCCTGAATCATACAACCTACAACTTTTTAAGCCTTCAGTTAACTGTTTCCTTTTTATTTAATCCCTACATGCTGTAAAATTTTTAATCATTAAGCCTATTTTTTTGCCTATCTACAAAACCTCAAAACTCACACCCATCTTCTAGTTATCCTGAATCATACAACCTACAACTTTTTAAGCCTTCAGTTAACTGTTTCCTTTTTATTTAATCCCTACATGCTGTAAAATTTTTAATCATTAAGCCTATTTTTTTGCACATCTACAAAACCTCAAAATTCACACCCATCTTCTAGTTATCCTGAATCATACAACCTACAACTTTTTAAGCCTTCAGTTAACTGTTTCCTTTTTATTTAATCCTATCCTTTATTTTTTAGTAACTCTTAACTTAATAATGGTTGCTATATATAGGCCTATATATATATATATATATATATATATATATATATATATATATATATATATATATATATATATATATATATATATATATATATATATATATATATATATATATATATATATATATAAATATATATATATATATATATATATATATATATATATATATATATATATATATATATATATATATATATATATATATATATATACTCGAAATCAACAAAAAGGAATAAAAGCTTCCATTCCTACCTGAATCCAAGAGGTTACATAAGAAGCGCATTTATCAGCTGAAAGATACCATCACAAAGAAAATCATGAAAACAATCTTAGTCAGCTTTAGGGTAGTAGCAATGGTGGACAGAAAAAGCACACTTGATACCTGACCACACATATAATTTTTTTTTGAAAGCTTGTCCATTGCATTTAATGATTCAAAGATGCAATGAAAAAATGTGTCAAAAGAAAGAAAATTATAAACAAGCTTAACTTTAAAAAAAAGAAAGAAATCTAGACAAAGGAGGAATTATCAAAAATTATTAAAAGCGATAACTCTTAAAATAAAAAGTCTAATATAAAACTGAAAAATTAAAACACTAATAGAAAATTATTTAATTATGCTCACAAATACATTAAAGTTGAAATTAAAACATTGATCTTTTCTATTGTTTTTATAGGTTGAATATCTTAAAACTTTGATCTTTTTTAATGTCTTTATAATATTTGGCTAACTCTTTTAAATAATAAATTATTCATAAAATAAAATCATAAAATTGTATTCAGGCATAATCATGAAATACACAAATTTTAAAATAAAATATAATTTTTTTTAATATTTTTTTTTAATTTAAGTTTAATATTTTTATTTAAAAGAATAAAATTTGTTACTTGAAATAAAAACATTATAAAAATTTTTGGTGTTGTTGTTGTTTTATACTACTAGGGTAGTACAAAAAAGTTTACAAAACAACTAAAAAAAGACCTTGCTATGTTTTATATAACTTTATGAATTTTCAAAATAAGGTTATTGAAACACAATCATTGTCGTTGTTGTTTATAAAATTAACCAAAAAATTGTTTTAAATCATTTACATTTATCATATAAAAAATTACTTTTAAAATAAATAAAAATTATATTTAATATTATGTGATAATATATTTAATAGCATTTTGAAACTTTATTTAAAAGTATTTAGTATAGTGTAAAAACATTTCATTAGAAAGTTTACAAAGCATTATAAAAAGTTTTTTGGAAACTTTCCCATCCATTTTAAGCTTATTGAGATCCCACCTGTTTATTAAATTTTACTTATTACTAACAAAAAAACTATATCTTAAAACTAAAAGAAAACTATTAGGGGAAACCAACCTAAAAATTAGAAAATATAGGTTTACTAATAAATATAAATATCCCCACCCACCCATTATTAAGTCCCCACTCCACAGTTAGAAATACAGTTAGAAAACTACAGTTAATTGACAAGGGCGTTAATTTGGCACTTCAGATTTTTGATCGGTAAATATTTTTGAGAGTGGAATAAGCAACCATCAGGGAGGGTTAAGGTTTCAAATTTTTGAGAGTGGAATAAGCAACATCAGGGAGGGTTAAGGTTTTAAATTTTTGAGAGTGGAATAAGCAACCATCAGGGAGAATTAAGGTTTAACATTTTTGAGAGTATATGGAATAAGCAACATCAGGGAGGGTTAAGGTTTAAAATTTTTGAGAGTGGAATAAGCAACCATCAGGGAGGGTTAAGGTTTAAAATTTAGAAAAAAACCTGACTGATAGAAAAAAAAATTTATTTTTATTTTCTTAAAGATAAGATGTATATCAACTTTACGAACTATTAACTTTTTTTTTGGTCTTATGTTTACTTGAGAAGTTATTGAGGTTTGATATGAACACAAAATTTTGTGATATTTTAAAATCAGGCAATCTATCCCAACATTTTACAAATTAATCAAATTAGAAATTAACAGTTTAGTAACTTAATTGTTTTTAATAATTTTTTACAACAAAACTATAAGGTATAAAAAAAACTTTTGAAAAATATAAATATATAAAAAAATACTCAATTTAAGCGATTTTATATATGCTTTTCATTTACAAGTTATACAAAATATAAAAGATTAAAAATAAGTATGGATAAGACATATCAGACTCAGCAAACCTGAAATTAGTTTCAATATAAAAATCTCTATTTCCTAAGGAGAACAATTTTTTTTCAAGTCATCTTTGGCTAAATAGTAACAAAACTCTTTGCAAATGATATGGACACCTGGAATCCTGCATTGGCTATCCACTGGTGGCCATTTAAAGACCGTGCAGGACCGTTTTGACACATAAATTTGACAAGCACATTTTTTTCTTCTGGATTAATACCTTCTATGACACTATCCACTTCTATGACTTCTATCCACCACTTTTGCTCATAGGAAACACAGGCATAATCACCACTTTTGCTCGTACTAAGTTTACAGTTGTTACAATACTAAGTTTACAGTTGTTACAGGGATGTTTTTAAAGTCATGAATGAAAGCAAAATCTTCATCAACACTGCATAGTTTTGTGCCTATCTAGAAAAAAAAGTAACATATGCATTTATTCTGTTTTACTTATTTTGTTAAACATGTTTTATTAAAGGCATTAAAAGAAAATTGCAAGTCCAAAATAAAACAAAAATACTTTTGACGATGATTCCACACAAATAAAAAGTCTTTTCAAGCTTATCATTAAAAATTATCCATGTTTTTTAAAGATAATAAAAGGTATATTAAATATATATTTTTTAATCTTTTGATAGCCAAACTGATACAAACTACAAAGTGGTACAAACTGATGGTAACTTTGTGTTTCAGGTATGGTATTTGCAGTATCCAATTGTTCCTTAACAGTGTTTCTCACCAAAATAAAATCTTCTGATGAAATATAAATGAAATATTCACCTTCAATCTTTTCGTTGCAATATTTGTGCATTGCTTTTGGAGATAAATTATGATTACCCATATCTCTTTGCAAGCTTGCTAGTGTTGCTAAATGTTTGACTGTACCACCTATCCTATCACAAGGTTGCTTATCGTGACTAGTTGCAAAAAAGTTCCATTTAGCAGAAGGACCAAATTCTTCAAAATGGAAACAAAGATTTAAATCATTTTTACAATTCTTATTTTGACCTGCACACCCATCTGTAAAGTATTCAAAATTTTTTATTTGAGGTGGATTTGTCTTAATATCATTGCTGACAACATCAATAATTTTATACCCCATGTTTACATCATGCATCATATCATCTGAAACAATACAATAAAATTTGTGTTTGATAAAACCTTCTTTTTTGAAATAAAAAATCACAGGATGAAGTGTACATTGTAAATTTGTCCAATGATAGCTTTGTACTTTGTCCTGAACTACAAATTTATAGTTTGTAGTTCAGGACGAAACCTAAAAATAATGCTGTTAACTCATTCATATCTTCCTTTCTTGATCTCAGATATGATGTTTGACTCATAGCTAAATACAAGTGTGGTGCAAGTTTTTGTCAGTTTTTTACATACTAGTTCAATGTATTCAGACACTGGGTCTTTATGATGTGTTAAGTTTGACCTATCTGTTGTTGTCCACTGTTCAAATTCATACTTCATCTTCAAACTCTCCAATTAAATTATAAAGTTTTTCAACCAATGCATTTATTTGGCATCTTTCATATTTATGCATCATGCAGCCTTTATTAGTCATGTCACATACAATATAAGGTAACAGTTCTTTGTATGTCACACCAAGAGGATGTAAAAGCAGTTTTAAATTCTGATGAATAGCACAGATGCATACTGAATGTGTTCCTGAAGCACCAGCAGTTATACACCATTTTTGTTGCTATGTGCAAAATCTTGAAAATCCAATTTTTATTTCCGGGTTCATGATTTTGAAAGCAACAAACAATTACTTTCAATTACATAAGAGCATATATTTTTTCATGTGAACATTTTTCTTTATGCTTACATAGTCCTTTACATATTTTTTTTTTTTTTTTTTTTTTATTTTAATTCACCTCCTCAAGGCCGAGAAGGCCACTACAGACGAGGAGGCTACTTATTTGTGGCTATAACCCTCTCTCAACTCTATAACTCCGAAACACGAACCTTGACAAACAAGGCCGCTGCGCGGAGAAATGAGTTGAGTGCGGTACTACCAGGGACGTGGTGGGGATCGAACTCGGAACCACTCGTTTATGAAGCGAGCGCTCTACCACTACACCACTACCGCACATATGCCTACATAGTCCTTATCAGGCATGATACGGCTTTATTCATCATCATCACTTGACCAGTTAAACTGTTACATCAGGAAGAACTTTTCTTAATTTAGAATTAGGTATGACTAAAATACCTTTTTCTA